CAGTTTTTAAAACCATTGATTCATCTAAAAAAAGAGTCGACTCATAGTGGTTAGAATGAATCGTCTTCATAACGAGTCTTTAGCCGTTTCAGCGTGACGTGACTACGAAACATAACTGTCGTAGGTGCAAACCCGGGAAAATTTAAACCTGCGCCCCGCCCACTAACACAGACTAGCAGATCCTGAAGTCATGAGTCAAGAAGACGCTCTGCTTACCTGGATATTATTGGAAGTGTGAGGGGAAATAATTGATTCAGCAGTCTACACGCTTACAGTGGGCGATTCATTCGTTTGTTAAAGGAAGGATCAGAAAAGACTGGTGTATGAGACTTGTGAGAATGGGCAGACAATACACCAGGGGTGCGTGCAAAATAAGGCCAGTTTATTAGGCACAAAGGCAGCCTGCAACACGCTGGTGAGCACTACAACCCCCTGGCTGGGGATGGGATCTTTGGGCAAAGCAGAGTACAGGTAAGCCCTGAAATCATATAACACTTCAGGCAAGAGGTGCCACAGCAATAGTTGCAAATAGATATGATCTAAGTTACAGCTGAGAAGGGAGAAAAGCTCACGGAAATCACGCACAGTAAATGATGTGCACGCTATCGGTTTCATTTTCACTGCTTAGTGCCGTTCATACTTCCCGTGCGGGGGGTTTTGACGGTCACGGGGTTATCGCCCGGCCTGTCTGCCGGGGGCTTGACAAACCGCGCTGGGCATTTGTCTAGCGCTGAACGCTGTCGACCAATCGCAACAGGCTGTCATCGGTCCAATCAGCGCAAATTAGCTCAGCGCTAAGGAGGGGTTTGGGAACAAATGAATCGCTGAACGGTTCATATGGGAGTCGCTGGGATAATTGTGTAAAAATAAAAGCAGATTATAAGACCATGAAAGTGTTTTTTGACCTTGCGTGCATATCAGTATGTTGTTGGAGACCCATATAACCGAAATATGACCCTTTTTCATGTATAATATGTGCTCTTTAAGAATATATTTATATATTGAAATGGTGGAAAATTCAGTGCTGCTGAAGTTAGGGTTAGGGTTCTCCAGAAGTAAGTTCTCCTTAAAGTCTGAGTGACTTATATTACAGTATATTGATGTACTTACAACTGAAAATGAATATTAAGTAGGGGGCGGGGCCAGGCCCGGATTGGCTAATCGGGAGGACCGGGAGAATTCCCGGTGGGCCGGTCCGTTTTTTGGCCGCGAGGGCCGGTGTCCCTAGCTCCAGTATCTGTCGCTCTCAGCAGTCACACTTTTTAAAAATAATTTATTTATTTACTTGACCACAGCCTTCTTATTATTTTACCGCAGTTCTGCTCTATTTATCTATTTTTTCGTAAATTAGCCTACAGGTTAATGATGATATACCTGGATAAGTCACCATTTAATGTACAGCTGTTGTGGTACAGTGGTTAGCACGTTAAGTTACAACACCGAGATCCCGGGCTCGTTAAATTACGACGCCGTGATCCCGGGTTGGTTCTCGTCGGAGAAACATTCTTTATTTTTATTTTTATTGTTAAGACATATAATACTGTTAGGGTTGTTGATCATTTTAAGTTCTGAAACAGCTGTTTTCTCAAAAAAGACGTGATAGTGTAATTAGAAACTGAATTGAAAATGACCTTATTTTAATATAGTCAGTGGTGAACTGAGGTGGGCCGGTCTAAGGCTTGAAACTCCAGGGCTGAAAAAGAGTCCCACTCCGGCCCTGGGCGGGGCTTATTTGTGCATGATTCTCCTATAGCAAACTAACAATGAGTGGGTTGAGGTTGAGAATATTGTGTCTCAAAACGGACGTCATCAGAAAAGGAGCACACCTCCAAAGCAAATAGTCAGACTTTAAGTTTAACTTAAGTAAATAACAATGGGCGCTAGCAAAATAAACACTGCAAATTTAGATTTGCACACAGACTTTAGTCTTAAGTTCTTTAAAGCTGCACAAGGTGTTATAAGACCCTGAGTTGTTAAAGCTTTAAGAGTTGTGCCAGTGCCGGACGCTCACCTTCAGCAGTGTGTGTGCTTGTTTGTGTGTGTGTGTGTTTGGAGGAACTGTGCACTTCGATAGGCTGTTTTTAGCCTGATACTGAGACCAGACTGAAGGTCACCACAAAATCATCCAACTGCACCTCGAATTACGGTGACCTTCCTCCAAAGATGCCAAACTGCCAAATTACCTCCTCCACCCCTCTGGAGGCTGAAACACTCACTTCACATGCAGCTCTGCTTCTGTTTCTAAACCCAAAAATAAGACCTGATTCCAGTTATTCAACACTATCAAACCCCTGTATTGTACTTGATATGTGCATTTCTGAAATAACTACAGCAAAAACCTGTTGCACACAATCTACTGTATTCATCCATTTATTCGTTGCAACCGTATTGAAACCACTCAGAGCGGCCATGTAGCAACCACATATGGGGATCAATGATACTGTGAAATAGCCTACTGTAACATCTGCAATTATCTAAAGTAAATAATAAATGCAAGATGTATACACATACAGACCCTTACAGTATCTGATATGATACTAATTACATTACATTTAGTCCTTATTTGGGTCCAAAAACAACATGCAACATATAGGTTAGCATACAGTCAGAGCAAACCTCTCATATGTGTCTTTAATTATCCCCAGCACATGTAGCCTCTGTTAGAAAGTAATTCCCTTTTGTTGTGCTAAAAAGTGGTACGGTACGGTTCGCTTTTTTGAAACGGCCATAAAAGCGTACAGACCCGTACTGCACCACCTTAGCAATGCCTTAGCAACTAACATGCAACCATTAAGAACAGCCTTGCAATCACTCACTCTGCCCTTCTCTAACAACCTCCTACAACACTCTAGCAACTGCCTCGCAGCCCCCTAGCATTCATTTAAACTAACTTAGCATGTGCTTAAACCAGCCCAGGCTCATTTTAATTATGTACTGTGTATACATTTCTGGAGAGCGCCAAATACGTCCCAGGAACTACGTTTTTTTTTTTGTTGCAATTTTTGTTTTCGGAAATCTGCAAGAGGCCGCTGTGATCTCAAATTTCTCTTACGAGTGCCATTTGTGGCAGCTCTTTTTGTGTAAATCCACCAGAGGACACTGTCGACTGACCAACTAACCGTTTCCCCAACTGACCCCTTTCCCTAAACCCAACTGATAGAGTTTTAAAAAGCACCGATTGACCAGCGTCCACCCACTTCCCTAAACCCAACCGACAGTGTTTTAAAAAGCAATCCAGAAAAAGAATAGCCCTCGTGGCCGCCTGGTATTTACCACGTTTTTCTCACCCTGTTATTTTCTTGTTTGTTTTAATTTTGCCTTTTGTTTTTGTCTTACCCACTTCCTGGAACAGTTATTTGCCAGACTGGAACCCCATCATCATGGTCAACTAAAATTGCAATCCAACGAGCCACAGGACAAACTGGTAACAGCAGAAAAGCAGTCCACACAGAGGTAAGCAATCAGCTGCTTGCGCGAAAAGGAACGGCATCATACTGCCCTGTAACATTCGTTGTAAAGACGAAATGCAGCCATATGTACATATGTACTTCTGGCAACATAATTCACGATCTCCAGAAATGCATACTGGGGTACATTTTCAGAAAGAGCCTGTGTTGGCTTAAACTCATTCATTCATTATTTTTTTTCAGCTTAGTCCCTTTATTAATCCGGGGTCACCACAGCGGTATGAACCGCCAACTTGTTCAGCACATATTTACGCAGCAGATGCCCTTCCAGCCGCAACCCATCCCTAGGAAACATCCACACACACACTCATTCACACTTATACACTACAGACAATTTAGCCTACCCAATTCACCTGAACCGCATGCCTTTGGACTGTGGGGGAAACCGGAGCACCCGGAGGAAACCCACGGGAATGCAGGGAAAACATGCAAACTCCAAACAGAAACGCCAACAGAGGCTAGAACCAGTGACCTTCTTGCTGTGAGGTGACAGCACTACCTACTGCGCCACTGCTTCGCCCTGGCTCAAACTGTAAACTAGAATACCCTAGTAGCCACCTAGCAACCTTCTAATATAGCTGATTTTGATGAACTACATTGGCCGTAGTGTGTAAATAGGAGAGTGTGTGTGCTTCCTAGCACTGGGGGCTGTACTCTCAGTCAGTGCTTAAATTGTGAAATGCGAGGTCCCGGAACAGATAACTGGGGTAACTGATCCGGCATGCTACCAGAGGAGGGTGACATGTTGCAGACAGAAGTGATGAGCCGGGGTGGGTTGGGTTGGGGTGGTTGTAGGGGATGTGTTGTGTACTGTATTGAAGAGAGGTGGGGGTGTCACGGATGAAAGTGAAGACGAGGGGTGGGTGTTTGTGAAGAGGACTGTATTGAAGAGGGGTGGGGGTGTCACGGGCTGTGGGAGTGGCCTAAAAACTGGGTGGATGATTGGTGTAGGTGATTTTGGTGTCGCGGAAGAAAGTGAAGAGTGGGGGAAGAGAGGGGTGTTGCGGAAAAAAGTGATAATCCGGGGTTGGGGTGGTGGGGGGGTGAATTTTGTA